TTTTAATAAAGTAATTATAATTAATCTAATTAATTATAATTAACTTTAATTAGAATTAAATTTAATTAATTATACAATAATTAATTAAAAATAATTTCTTAATTAATTTTAATTAATTGATATTAATTATAATTAATAAATGCTTAAATGCTTACCCTCTTCCGCCTCGGTTCCCGTGCCCTTGATCCACGAGCCGCCGGTCCACCGGCCTCGAAGGTATAACCCCTAAACTCAGGCTTCCGTCCTCGACGTGTACGACGGACCGGTAGATCACCTAAGCACGCCTTTGTTGAGCGTGGTAGAAGGAAATTCGGTCCGACGCCTACGACAAGGCGGACAGTCGCCTCCCTTCTCGCTCTCTTACCTCGGCATGCGTTTCGAGTCAGTGGTCCAACTATGCACGCCTTTATTGAGCGTGGTGGGAAGGGCAACTGGCTCGACACCTACGACAAGGTAAGCGAGCGACCCTCGCCCTCCTGTCTCGACATGCGTGTCGGACCGACAAACCACCTAAGCACGCCTTTAGTGAGCGTGGTAGGAGGAAAACCGGTTCGACGCACACTGCGAGGCCAGGCGAGCCTGGTGTACCCTTTTTTTGCGCGGCCGGAATAATTTATAAGTACCCCCGGGCGGGGGGAAAGCAACTGCTCTCTTATTGTGACAGGTACCATCAAAGACCCCATGCACGCCTTTGTTGGCGTGGTGGGAAGAAAAATCACGGCTGCGGTGTCCTCGAAAGAGGCACCTACCATGCACGTCTTTATTGCGCGTGATGGAACGGCCCAGTTTTCTCGTTATTTTCCCCTAAACGGGGGAGACGCCGGGAGGTTGCCGAAATTTCGGGTGAAATGTTACTACACTTGGACCTCTTTTGAACTTAAAAGAACAAAAGATTTGGACCAAATGAGAAAGAGCAGTGAACTTTTAGAACATGAACATGAACAGTAGACTTGTGGACCGTCGAACTTGATTGAACACGAGCAGAGGACCTGAACAAACATAAATGATTCTAAAGATCAAAATCCAAATAAGAATAATATCAAATCAGAACCAAATTCAAATCAATTCAAGTATGAAATTGAACTTTACCCAGATTCAAAGCTTGAACAAATTCAAAGGACTACGGCACGAATATAACATCAACACTAAATCAAGTCTAATTGAATAATGTTAAACTGAGCCAAAGATTTGAACTCGTACTCCTGACTCGGACATTAACGGCTTGAGCAATTCGAATTCAAGCGAGTACTTGAGTTGGATTGTAAGAGGCATAGAAATAACCTTGCACACTAAGCTCACGAAGTTGATTCGAACTGGGCATGGAAGGGTTCATACTTGAGACAGACTCAACACCAATCAAATTATAGCACCTCCTACGGATATATTCAGTGTATGACACACGACAAATGCGAATGCCCGCAATATACAGTAGAAGGCTCCTACACATTCAACCTATGACCTACAAACAAATGCAAATATAACACTACCTGAGATTGGTGAAATGTGATTTCAAACGAGGGCCTCCTACGAACATTCCTAGGAGCTTGTAGCAAACACAACAGATCCTTACAAACAAATATGAGCCGCTTGTGGATAACAACAGTGGGCATATCGTAAGCACCATCGAACCACTGTGGGCACAAGTACAAGTATCTCCTACAAAGATCCCTACGAGGTCAAACAAGTACAATCAAACCACTCGAGATTGGTGAAATGGTGGATATGATGCAGAGACAATGGGTATTTTACAAATACCTTCAGGAGGTCGTCGTTGATATAGCGGTCCCCTGCAAATGGATACTTGTGGATAACAACAGTGCATTGAAAGAACAACGAATCACTGTGGACACAAGTACAGATATCACCTACGACAGTGGTGACCAAAATCTCCAAGTATGTCGGGTATAAGAGCGATTCGATATACAAAAAGTACACCCCCTGGCAGAAAAGGGGGAAATATTTGAACAAATTAGAACCAAACTTCCTGGTGTTCCAAAGTCTCTTTTTGGTACTATAATTAAGAAGAGAACAGTTTGGGTGCCCACAAACACCGGAGATAGCAAGTCCACTACGCCGAAGAGCCTAAAAGGAGTTCTTTCCAAATCAACAGTCTTTGACTCCAAAATCCAGAAAATCCTTCCCCGGTGAATGAGAAAGGGGAATCAACACTAAGACGCCACGCCACCGGATCCGCAACACTCATACTAGCGGACAAAAGACGTCTATAAATACTTTCAAAGCACCTCTGCACGTGCACTATAGACTGCATACACATAGGTACACCAAAGGGGTATATAAAAATCACCCGCATGGGCCCTGACGAGCGTGTTATTGGTACACATGTGACGCTTAGGGATGCTGCGCGGTCGATAAGTGAATTTTAGTTCGAACCTGATCCTTCTATACGGATCAATAGAAGTCAACAGGGTTCGAACTCTCAAACAAATACATGGTTGTGGGAACCGATGTATTTGTTTCAATACATTCATATTAGACCTTTAAGGTCTACAATCAAAAGAATTCATAAACAAAGGCATGAAGCCTACGAAACCCGATCCTCCTAAGCATGTAAATAGGAGTAGACAGGGTTCGAACCATCAGATAAATATACGGTCACGAAGTCGACCGGAATATTTATCTTATACATTCATATTCAGCCTTCAAGGCCTTCAATAAAGAGAATTCATGAACAAAGGCACAAAGCCTACAAGAAACCAGATCCTCGAGCAACAGTTTGGTCGAGTTGACAGGGTTCAATCAACAAAAAGGAAATGACCCCAAATACCACAACCGGAGGGGTTCACAAATATTTTCAAATGCCACCCAAATACTTCAAAAATCCAAAATCAATCCCAAATTCCCAGATATTTAAATCTGAAATAAATCCATCAAACACTTAAAGCAAAGCCCATCCACCCTTCGCAACAGTCTGCCGGGGTGGACAAATTCAAATAAACTTTAGCTCACAAAGAGCTAAATGCCTAGTCGAAAATATCACTAGGATCCATTCTCAAACAGTCTCCTGCCAGTAAGGACGTGGTACGTGTCCTCTGACCGGCGGTTTGCCGCCAAATGGCACCGCATGATAAACGGTTATGATGACCCGGGGCCCTCTGAACCGAGTGGTTTTGCCGCCAAATGGCACCACGAAATACCGGTTATGGCCAGAGCCAATACGTTCATTTTTGGCATCAAATCCTTGAGATATGAATCAATATGATATAATTGATAGGGCACAAAGCCCTCTGTTAGCTAAGGTGGATTCAAATTTGTCCCCTTAGTTAACTATAGGGGCTTGCGCCTATAGGAAACCAGAACTCAGATCATAAAGTCCTCGCAAAATGAGGGCGAAATCTCTGGGTAGTGTCTTATCTACAAACCCATCTGCCTTCCAAAATTTACCCCGGAACTTAGTTCGTTAAAACTCCATCGCTCAAATAAAAATGAAAAGCGGACGGAGGCCGGGGCCGAATTTTCGGAGCCCACAACATTATTTATTTCATTTGGGTCCATGGGTTGTGCTTTGCAAATGTGGTTGGGTGCAGTTTAGAAAAATGTAGGTTTCAGTAGAATTTTGATAAAAACGTTACACATAGTGAGTGAGATGCGTGAATAGCTTGAGCCAATGGTTTGAGAATGAAAAATTAGTCATCTTCTTGAGCTTTATCAAGTGCTATTTTCTTCCAAAATTAGGTTCCCAAAAAATATTGAAGTGAAACTATCTTGACCTCTTCATATTTGATTAATGGATTATCTATTAGTGTGATTTTAAAAACTTTCTAAACTACCTCACTG